CACATGTTCTGCACTGCGGTGCCCACACCCAGTCCGCTGCCTCTATAGAGAAAAGGCTGGGTCATTCTGCAGCAGGGAAACAAGTGCACGTGGCAGGCAGGTGCTGTGGCCCTGGGAGCTGGGCACCAGAAGGCAAACCTACCAGGAAGGTGCCACCCACGTCTGCTAGTCAGAGCACCACGGGGTCTGGAGGGCAGCAAGCTCCACACAGGCTTACCGGAGGAGAGGCCTAGCAGGCTACGCAGGAGACATCCAGGAGGCCACGTGCCGACGTCTGTGGGCTGGAATCTCTCCTCCTCCACTGCGCACTCACCCTCCATGACTAATGTGGCCGCAGCCACAGCTCAGCCCCAGGGTCCAGTGGGGAGAGGCAGAGGCAGGCCTCACAGAGCCCTGTGTGGGGCCCCAGACAAGAGCACGGGGTGCAAGTGAGGCCCAGCCCTGCCTCCCCACAGCCTATGACTCTGCCCCACTCCACTCTGTCTGGGTCCAAGTGTCGTTTTCATTTCAGTGTCCACCTGAGCTCCGAAGCATCCGTACTGTCCTGCCTCCGAGTCAGAGCCTGCACACAGCCCTACCCCGCCCCCAACTGTTCGTCCTTGAAAACCATCCATCCATCAGCACCCTGCCTGGTGGACGCCTCGGGGGCGTCTCTGTCTCCCCCTCCAGCAGACGGAAAGGCAAGCAGCTCCATGCCAGTCTGAGCTGCTCCCAGACGCTGGCTCTGGACTGACTGTTGGTGCTGTGGCAGAGGGGACGGGCGGGGCCATCAAGATGAGAGACCCCAGGTCGGCAGCGTGGGCCACAGTCCCTGCCATCCCTGCCACAACCTCACCTCTTTTTTCTTGTTTGTTTTGTTTTTGTTTTTCTTCCTGTACCGGGAATTGAACTTATGACCTTGCGCTTGCCAGGCAGGCACTTTGCCACTGAGCTAAGTCCCCAGCCCCCTACCTCACCTCTTGAGCCCACGCCTCCCACCTGAAGCCTTCACGACAGCTTGCCTGCACATGACGCAGCTCACCTGTGACCCAGGACCATAGCTCTGTGCCCCGGAGTTCAGGGTGGGCCTCGCCATTCTGCCATCTCCTGGCCGGAGGCCGGGACTCTATAAATGTGTGACAGACTCAGCTTCTCTGTCCCTTGAGCTTGCTCTGCTACTCTGATGAGCCTCCTGGCCCTTCTAGGCATGGCTCCTTCCTGAGGTCTACCCACAACAGGACACAGTCCCCAGGGGTTCAGCTAAGAGAGCTGAGTGTGCCACAGGGGGACAGGGAGCTGCCTGGGCCAGAATGTCACAGGTCTCTGCATCTGGTGGTGGGCTGAGCTTCTGCCAAACCTGAGGCCAGAGGTGGTGCTTTGGGGACCTCGCGCTAGCTACCATGTGGACAAGGTTGAAGGGGGCCGAGCAGACAATTGGTGCAAGGTGGGGCAGAGTCCAAGGCCATGGGGAAGGGAGAGAGTCGGGGACTGACTGTGTGGGGTAAAGGACAAGGCCCAGGGCAGCTTGGGTGCTGGGCTGATCCCTTAGCCCCAAACTGCAAATGCGTGGACATGCAAGCAGAGCCCGGACAGAAGTGCAAGGTTGGAGGCCCCTGGAGCAGTCTCGTGAAGGGGTCCTGTGCGTTGCAAGCAGCTCTGGGAAGTTGCCTCTTAACCACATCTCAGTTGTCAACAAGAGGATGGAGCCTGGAGCGGGTGACTCCCTCATGCTTCCTTCTGTACATGTGCAAGGCTCAGAGACCAGCTCTGCAGCTGGGGCCCCACCCCGAGCCCACAGTTACGGGACCTCCCCCGAGGGTAGCTTCGGCTAGCCTGGGTGGCTGGGCTGCTGGTTTTGAGAAAACTGGTGTGTTATACACACACACAAATACACATGTATGCAAGTGCATGCAAATAATGTGCAAGTACACACATTTTCACACACATACACGTGTGCACCTCTATACACATACCACCATGTATTCATACATACATCTGCTCTTACACCTCCATGCACCTCTATGCGTACACACAGATGTGTGCACACTCTACTATATTTAGAAACTGTAGAGGTCGAATTCAAGTCTTCACCAACTCTCCATCACCATTCACTCAGAAATACAGAAGAAAGAGAATCAGCAGGTGTCATCTGTTAGGAAATATTTCTGGGAGTAACTGGAAGCATTATTTATAATGAGTGTAATTATGCATCCGTGTTTCTGTGCCGTATTCTGAAAGAGCCCGTGCTGGCTGCACTGGAGGACCACTAACTAGCAGCGGCACTTTTTTTCCAGAGAAGTGGGTGCTTCTTCCAGGCAGAAGCCTGTGCAGGTCTGGCATTGATTTTCACCAGATTTTGTTATTACATTTGTCTCACAGCTTTAAAATAGTAGCAAATATGTGCAATTTATTTAAACAACACTAGGGAAATTAATGCCATGCAAGCTTATCCTAAGCAAATGAAGATAAAGCAGACTTTTTTAAATGGCTGTATGAAAACCCTGTAAAAATCTGAGTCTGAGATTCGGAGGCCCAGGTGAGCTGCTGCTGGTGCAGGTGCATCTCCGAGGGAGGCGGCCGGCAGGTCTCTGCCTCACCACATGCTGGAGTCAAGCAGGTGGAGAACCCCCTTCCACAGTTGTGCTTGGGCCAGGCTCCGTCCTGGCATCTCTAAGGACCCCATCGTTTACCAGGTCTGGCTGGTGCTCATGTAGACATGTTCAAAGACAAGAAGTAAGCCACCTCCCCTCTCCAGAGGCGGACACCTGGGAACAGGTGCATCTAATTAGCTGCAGGTTGAAAATCTCGGTGGCCGGGCGCCTGTGCGTTTGTGGAGCAGCCGTTCTCCCACTGCAGCAGGTCATCTCCCAGAGCTCGACGGACAGGACTGCTGGCCCCTGCCCAGAACTAGTACCCATGGGCCCCAAGAATGTGCCTTTGACAGGGCTTGTGGGGCTCTGCTGCTGGCCCAGGACCGGGCTGAGAACTCTGAAATCCCTCTCGCCACCTGTCTCAAAGGCATCCAGAGGACAGGGACTCACACACCTCAGACCCGGTGAGGCTTCGCTCTGCCACTCCCTGAGACTCGGAAGACAGTGAACATCAGCCCTGGGACAAGGCTGTGCGTGCCACCTGGAGCACCTGCACCAGAATGGGTGACATGGGCGGGCATTGCGTACGTGTGTTGGCTCCCTTAACAGAAGACATATTGTACATTATGACACTCAGAAAATACTGAAAGGTAAAAGGAATGAAGCAAAATAAAATAACATCAAAGTCTCTAAGAAAGCCAGCGTTTACATCTTGATGTAATTATTTCCAATTCCGTGTTGATCCTTTAAAAACAAACTGGGCCCTGTTCCAGTGCCTTGGTGCTATACCTCCATTCACTAATATTTCACAGACATTTTTCCCAAACAGCATCCTGAAAGAGTAACTTTTAAAAATGACAGTATCCCAAGGCATGGGTGTAATGTAATGTAATACCGTTATTTACTATCAACATCTGGATTGTCTGCTATTTTTACTATTACAAGAACACCTACAATGACGTCTTTATACCAACCTTTCACTGGGACGGATTTCCAGCTGTAGAGAGGCTGGGTCAACAGGGTGGATCATTACTGAGGTTCTCGGTGGTCAGAGGCAGGCTGTGGGCGGAGCTATGCTGACCCCAGGCCCGGCAGGCAGGAGCCACAGAGACATGAGCATGGCCAGCCGGAGGCCCGCAGGCTCAAGACCAGGCATGTTCCCATGGAGGCCTAATTTAATCTCCACAGCAAACCTCAAAGTCCATGCTACTGTTCCCATTCCTATTTTAGAAAAGAGGCAAAGGGAATGCTCCAGGCTGGGGACTTTTCTCTCTGTCACATGCATCTCTGGATCACGTAGGTATTAGGGGCTCAGTCTGTTTACCGCCAAAGCCGCGTGCTCAGCCTCCTCCCTCTCCTGACTAACCCACAGCACGATCCCTGGTGCTGAGGACAAACCCCCTCAGTCCTATCAATCTGATGGATGAAAAGGATGTATCACTTTAACTTGCACTTTGTTTTTTTGTTTTTGTTTTTGTTTTTTTTTTTTTTGGTTTTTCTCCGGTACCGGGAACCGAACTCACGACCTTGCACTTGCCAGGCAGGCGCTTTTGCCGCTGAGCTAAATCCCCAGCCCCTAACTTGCACTTTGATTCCTGGGAAATCGGTAGAGTTTTCGGTACAAGTTTGTTGACTATTAGTATTTATCTTGTTTTGAATTATCTGATGTTATTCTTATAACATTTCCTGTTATGAAAAAAACATACCATTTTTTTTTCTTATTGACTAGTAAGAGTTCTTCACATATGGACTCCTAACCCTTTCTCAGATTTGTTGTAAATCACATTTTCCAAAGTTATCATTTGCATTTCGGGTATATTTTCGTACATAGGACTTTTAAACTCAAATATATTAGTCTTATTAGAGAAAAGGAAAGTGTTCACAGGAAGGGGGGGGTAACAGGGAAATAGATATGACCAAACTATGACACTATCACAGTGGGGGTGAGGCTCAGGGACCCGGCATGCTCCTAAGCGTGAACAAGGCCAGTCCCCAAGACCAAAATAAGAAACGAAAGTACAGCTGCACCTGGTGGCACAAGCCTGTAATCCCAGCGTTTTGGGAGGCTGAGGCAGGAGAATCATAGTTTCAAGGCCAGCCTGGACAAATTAGTGAGACCTTGCCTCAAAATAGAAAAATAAAAAGGGACAGGGATATAGCCCAGCAAGAGAGGGCCTGGATTCAATCCCACTACTGCAAAACCGACTAAATAAAAAAGTTCTTCCCCACATGGTCTCTTAGATGACCACATTGTCCCCTTTCTTCAGTCATCCGTGTCACTGCACATGGGCGAAGGCCTCGCCTGACTGCGTTCCCTGAGCCTTGGTCCCTTCCCCAGCGTTGCCCAGTTTTTCTCTATCAGGCGGCGACAACACGGATTCTCTTAACTGGCTTCTCTATCTCTTCTCTCCCCACAAAACAACACTGCAGAAAGGAAAGAAGAACGTGGCCCCGGACCCCGATCAGCCCCCCAAGGACACGCTACTACCGTGGCCCCAGCACCAGAGCTCCGGCGGGCTGAGGCGGCAGAAACGGGACTGGGTCATCCCTCCCATCAACGTGCCGGAGAACTCCCGAGGGCCCTTCCCGCAGCAGCTGGTGAGGGTGAGTGTGCCCCGCCATGGGCAAGCATGTTCCGGGGCCAGCGCCTCCCTCACTCCGTGTGTGGGATCCAAGCTCGAGGTCCCATCCCACCTTTTCTGGAAGGAGCAAGGGTTACGCAGAGTGGAGGGAGCTGCACTCTCCAGGATGAGCCTCCTGGGGTTAGGGTGACTTATGTCCTGCTTGTCGGTCTTGTGCACAGGAGTGGGTGGGGCAGGAATGGGGACCGTGGCCTCTGGCCTCTGGCCTCCGATGCATATCTGTGGTCTGTCAGCCACCATGTCCTTCCACGTGCAATGGTGGATGTCTAGGGGTCATAGCGCTGAAAAGTTGACATCTTGAGACTGGGGCTAGCAAGGCCCTGTTGGCCGCGGTGTCCCGCCTACTACCTATGGCGCCACACTGATCCCAGCAGCCACCACAGGCTGCTGCTGCTGCAGAAAAAGATTCACTTCACAGATTTGTATTTTTGTAATTGTGACTATCAACTGGCGTTTCCTTCTTCCTTTTGGAGAAAATTGCAACTCAATCTAAGCAATAATTTGATAAAATGCTGGCAAGCGCTCCATTAAATAATCCTATCCCCCCTGTAGAAGAGTCTGCCCCTCTTTCTGGAGCCGAGGATGCCCCAGTGCTGGGAAGCGGTGAGCTTTGTCCTTCAGGCTAGGTAGGCCGTTTTGTTTCTCACTCCTTTCAAGACACAGAGCCGGGCAGTCTATTTAGAAGACAGCGAAGGAGCCTAGGAAAGGAGCACACGGTACAAATCCCCCCAACTCTTTGTATCCCCAGTGTCAGCCACAAGGGGCTCAGTGCCCTAACCAGGAAGGAGCCAGGATTGACAGGCATTTAGAGCAGAAACTGTGACATTAGTGCACGCAGCAGGCACACGCACCCCCGAGGAGACAGCATCACCCTGCCTCTGCATGTGTCCTCCCACATGGGGCACAAGGCTTTCCTGAGCCGGCCACAGCCCTGGAGTTGCCTGGCCGGGCTGAAGATTTCATTGTGAGATGGGGGTCAGGACATGAGGACGCCTTCGAGGATGGAAACCCGCTGAGGAGTAGTTTCCTGGACCCACGTCTCCTGGGTCCATCGGCCAACCCCTAAGCCATACTGGCACTAATTATGCCACATCAGTTCTGTGGTCTCCACGCTGGGTCCAGAGCCTTGCCTTCGCAAGGTATCTGCTGTATCTGACTATTGCTTGTGTTCACATTTACTTACGTTTTTCTGTATGTGATTCATTTTGAATATAAGTAAGTTTGTTCTAACGGAGTCTTCGTATCTGACTGTGACTGGCACAGTTTTGTTTGTTAGAGAGATCTGGTGGTAAAGACAAGCAAAGGGAGAGCACACAGAGCCAAGAATGTCCACCCCCGGCCTGCAGGCTGGCCTGGTGTGTGGCAGGCAGATGCACTAGGACCCCACAGAGCCTCTTCTGAGTGTCCTCAAGAGAGACAGGAACCTGGGAAGGGGGTGAGGTTCCCACTGTGCTACTCAGCACTGTTTTCCAAAATCTCCACTTGGAGAAAACCATTGCTCCTACTCGGGGTTGCCCAGTCGGTAAACCCCCGGCCCTCCTGGCCCTGCGAGCCCCACTGCCTAAGTCTGGCAGCTGCCCAGGCAATGTTCAAACAAGTAGGTGTGGCTCAATGCCAATAAATCCACATTCACTAAAATAGGCATAGCACCAAATTTGGTCGACGCACCATAATTTGTCAATCACCAATCCAGCCATTCTCAGATGCCAGGAAGGCCTCTCCAACATCAGCCTCACGGACATGGGGAGCACATAGTTGGTGGATGTATTTGTGAGTCTGGCTGGTGTCAGCACTGCTGGGATAGTCTGTTGCGCTGGCTTGCAGAGTTCCTCAGGCAGATGACATAGGATCGACACATGGGTCTTTCTTCCTCCACTCCCATCTGTAGACAGGCTTGGAAAAGCTACCAAAGAGAGGGCAGTCCCTGTGGGCAGAGCCCTGCCTCAGAGGAGGCCAGCTGGGTGGGATCTGGGGAACCTCCCTGAGCCTGCCCTGACTATCTTCTGCTGGACTATGCAGAAGAGACCCTAAGGAGACTCCTGCCTGCCTGGCCACAATCACCAGAGACTGTGGAAGGCAGACTGGGCAGGATTAGCACACAACCAGCTTCTGCCGAGCCAGCAGAGTGTGGGTAGTCGCCCCTGGGCTGTCATTGATGGGGGGCTGCTTTCTCAAGACAGCACAGTGAGAGCTGAGCTTTCTGCCCCTCCCAGTTCCCTGATGGGAATGTGGCTCTCCAATGGGAACAGCTAAAGCCTCCCCTACTCACAGAAGCCTCGGAGAGTGTGGCTGGGAGAGCAGCGGATGGCAGGTGCCCCCAGCCGCTGTAACGCAGCTCCTGAGACTCTGTGAGGCTGGCGGCTTTAAACCTGAAACGTGGGGACAGGAAATGTGAATTTGGCTTTCGGTGTCAGAATGAGCAAAGCTGCAGATTCTACGGTGCCAGAAGCCGCTTCCGGCAGCTTCGCCCACGTGGCCACTTCTGATTCGAGTCTCGCATCGCCATGGTTTAGAGCGAGTGCGTCACCTGTCCTCACGCGCTCCGACTTCTCCACCCTCCCCGAAGCGTCGTCTCCAAGCAGACAGTGTCGCTCCCAAACAGGCTGCAGGTGTGTGCGGTGAGCTCCGCCGCTGTGAGTAACAGGCCCAAACATTCACGAACAGCCCGGAAGTTACTTCTGGCTCGCTGTGCAGGGCTGGGCACCAAGGCCACCGCGAAGGACCCCGGTGGCCAGGCGGAGGGGGCACACACCCACCCTGCCTGTGTCCCACTGGCCAAAACCCAGTCACGTGACTGTGCCTGGCCGCAAGGGCCTGGAGCCACGGTCCAGCACTACCGCCATAGGACAGGGCGATGCACGCAGTGAGTGGTATCTGCCCTGGCAAGTATCTGCAAAGAGATGAGATCAGCCTGTGTCCTTCCCTCCCCAGTGGCCAGACCGTCCCAAGGACCCCACAGCCCTGGGACAGCTCTGGGCAAGCAATTCAGAACTGACTTCCCAGCCCGAGCCCAGACCTGGCCTTTCTCTGCCCACTACCCCCTGTGTCCTCTGACCTCACAGTCGCTAATCGCTATCTACTCCCCCACTGGCCTGTCATCTAAGAAGAGGCCTCCTGAAGGCAGCTGCTGTATCTGTAACCCTGCTGCCCTGACAGCCTGCACCCTGTGGTCGGAACAACTCTGTTGAAGTAGCAGGGCTGGTTTTTCAGTAGAGATACATCGGTAACATATGGAAAATGGGGCCTCACTTATCTTCCAAGTCGTTACGTAAGATCTCAGCGTGCCACACATCCTGCGCATGCACGCACACGCGCACACACACACACACTAAATTCTTAACTAGCGCAGACCGCGGTACTGAGGTGCTGCGCTACACCTGTCTCTGCCCACGGAAAGTCCTGCCAGGATTGCCAGGGAGGCCGTCCCTGAAAGAGCCCAGATCACAGTGCACATGAGCGCAGCGTGGTGGAGCGGGGGCTGAGCACACCCCGGGGGGTTCGCGGGGATCAGCAGCTGCAGCTCTGTGCTCGTTAAGGGGTTTCATTCTGATAAAATATGTTAAATGAGGAAGTGAGTGGGAAGAAGCAGAATGTTCTTCCCCAAACCTCGGTTAGTTACAGGCTTTTTCCTGTAAGGAATAGCGCGTCTCTGCGTCTCTTCATAAGCCCTCAATCCACCACACCAGGAAGAACAGCCAGCCTCCTTGTGGGGAGGACAGCCGGGTGTGGTGTGGCTGTCGCTAGTGGGCTGGTGAGCTGTGTCTGTGGCAAAGCATGGTAGTGTTCCTGGCAGGGAGATTTGCCCTCAGAACTTGACCACGGCCTCAGTCAGAAGAGCAGCAGTCTCAGGCAGTCCTTCGCCATCAGCCGTCGATGTTACCAATGTCCTGCGAAAGCCTGTGTGGCGGAGGCTTCAGCCCCAGCTCGGCGCTCTTGGGAGGGAGTGGACGTTAAGAGGCGGGGCCTTGTGAAAACCCTTCCAGTCCCTGGGGATGTCTTTCAGAGGGACAGCAGGACTCTCCTTCCGCTATCTCTCACATGGACCATGAGATGAACAAGCCTCCTTTGCAGTGCGCTCCAGCCCTAACGCACTGTGATGCCTCAGACCGAGAGCAACGGGGCCAATCAGTTTGAGACTGAAGTCTCCAAAACTCCGGGCCAAAACAAAACGTTCTCCTTCTAAGGTGATTATGTCAGGCATTTGTTATAGACACAAAGGCTGGCTCAGAGTGAGAAGCAGGGACGGTCACTGAGCTGGCCTCGTGGAGGTGGACAGGGCTGTCCCTACGTTCCCCAAGGACAATGAGAAGTGGTGGGACACCTTCCCTGGTCCAGAATTCCAGCTCTAACCTAGACAGAGGGGGCATCTGTCGGGTACCACACACCATGCAGGCCTCCCAATCCCAAGGGGAAGGATAGAAAGTTCTTTGTGGCCTTCCGGAACCACCAAGCTCTCATTGGCTCTCCGCCCTGTCACTCAGAATTGGGTCCTGTCACTGTAGAGGTGGTGCCGTTTCCAACACAGAGCCTCGGTAGAGGGTTTGGGAAGCCACCTGCTTCTCTCACATGCGCATTAGGTTTGACTTCCGGCAAGATTCAGGGTGAGGATGAAAGCAAACTTGCAAAAAACAGATCTATTTCATGGCTGGTCCTAATAAAAATACAGAATTTGTTAACTTGGGAGGTTGTCCACGGCAATTGCCAGAATTGACCAAGACAGAGAGGAGAAAGGCAGTGCTCTTGGGAAAGAAAATCTGCAATTTTGGAAGCTGATATTTAACAACACATGAAGTCATGTAACGTAGGCCTCGGGGCCCTACTAGAGAGCCAACCCCAAAGGAAGATCTTGTGATAAAGACTCGGGAGGAAGCTGCTCAGACAGCTCAGGACAAAGGCATCTGCGTGGGAATCAAGACAGGGCTTTTCTGGAGCAGGGAGATCACCAGGAGGCTGTGATGAGCA